TATAACTGAGATAAAAATGAAAATGAAGAAACCAAAGTGATCACTTTTTAAAAGTAAATGAGCCACTTATTTCCCATAAGTTGGAAGTTCAATCCCTTATCTCCACATTTGTTGTATTAAAAAATATACATTGACCAAAATAAACGTTTCACAAGTATATAGACTAAATTGAACAAAAGTTGAAAGAATAAAAACCAAAATAAATGCTTTGAAAGTACATAAACAAAAATTAACCAAAATCGAAAATACACGGACTAGAATAGTATTTAAACACAAAAAAAAAATTATAGTGTGACTATCAATTCATTGGTAATCTTTTTATAACTCATAATATTTTAAATCTCCGCATTGCACTTGTAATATTATATTATAATATAATAATATATATCGTAATATTGAAATTAGTTTAGCTGTTACTAAACTAACATCATCGTGGGACAATTTACCGCTCAAATAATTAAGTTCATGTCTTTTTAAAGTCTAATATATAAACGATATAAAAAAGAATAATATAGAAACATATGCTTCTCAAGATCTAATGTAATTATTTTTAAAAGGTGTAAAATCATTCTGAATTTAATTTGAAGTGTATGGGGAGATGAGTGGAAAAATATGTAAGATAAACATTTCCCTCAAGTGTAAAGGCAACTTTTTTCTTGACCAATAATGGTGTAGACAATTGGTTAACATTTGAATGGAATGCTTTTTTCCCTTCAAATTACTAAATTATTTTTCAAGTGAAACAAGAAAAAGCAACTTTATATCACCACAATTTGTTTCTTTTAAAAAGAGAAAAATCCATGATTAGTTTTTTTTTTTATATAAATTAAAACTCATGCTTGCCAGCCAAAACAAGCTTTCCATAGATAAAAGTGGCATTCTTTTTCCTAAAGAATTAGAAGGGCCATTTCATTGCTTTACCTAAAACCTTTTAATAAACAATATGTGTGAATAATATGTGTGAATATACTATGGCCAAGAATGAAGCTAGATTGTACACGTCGCTCCCTCCTCTTGAAACAGGTTCGGACACGTTGAAAACGATGAAGAATTAATTAGCCAAAGCCAAGAGTTTATAAGACAAAGCTTAGCAGCTCAGTTCCGACGTAGGGAAGATTCTGCTCATAACTGACATAATGTCAATTATGTTGCATAGCCAACAAGAGAGATATGTCAACTGTCATGTACAGTAGCCATAATTATCTCATAGTGACGTTTTTCGATGCTCCATTTATACAAGGTGTAGTCCACCTTTCCAAAGGTATGGGGTGTTTGTGCACTTTACTAAGTTTGGCTTGACACTGACTCGAACTAAATACTAACTAAAGCTTCAGAGTGTATGTGGTCGAGCACCACACTAGTACAATATTTTATTCACAGGTTGTGACCTTAGGAGACTTAGAGTCCAGCTCACGTGTTGATGTATCCTCTCAGCCATGATCCTGCATGAACGGGATCATCAATAATTAAAAAGTAATAGATGACCTACTTTTTAAAAAGACCAATTCAAATTTAATTTCACTCCTTGCATTCTTATTTTAACGCACAAACTTTTGGATATTTTATTTTAGTATGTAAGTTTTGTAAAACAAAAAAAATTATTTTACTTTTTGTTGTTAATTTTTTTATTTACCATTTAACATAGCCTCAACACAAATCATGTATTCAATTAATTACAGTACAGAAATATCCGAATGATAACAAATCAATTGTAAGAGTGTTGAAATAAATATGAATTTTTTATCAAACGGTGATGAGAAAGATTGACACTAATATCTAAAATAACTTTTACTACAAAGTAAAAAGTCTAAAAAGTCAACGGTTTTTATTTTTTTTAATACAACAGGTAGGGGTGGAGGTTCGAACTCACAAACTCTTAATTGAAGATATATATAAATGATCATTGAATTATTCTCGTTTTGACAAAAATCAACAGGTTAAGGAACCTATCTCATACCATAAAATGTCGTAAATTAAAATCTCCATCCTCACGTGTAATAATAAAAAAAGGACAAAAGAAAGAAAAAATAAATGCAAAACATTATAAAGTTTAAAGATCAAAATAATATTTGAAAAAAGAAAAAAACAAGTTGAATAGTTTGTATAAAAATGGCACGTGTGAGATATTGCAGAAAAAATAGAAACAAATTTGTCCAATAGTAGAAAAACGTTGAAAACGAACCGTTTCATACAGAAAAGAGAAATTTTGAAGCGTAGCGGCCATCTAAACCCCATCCCTGGCGAGTTACCGTCACTCTCCATCCAGGTGATCTGCACCGTACGTGGATGACGCGCGTATGTGGCGCGTGGAATGGATGTTCTGGTTTCTTGTGGGAAAATTGTGGAGGAGTGTGACAGCGTGGAAAAAAGTTGAACTACTGAAAGAACATGATGGGGCCCACCTCAGTCTCGATCGAAACAAGGAGCGTCCCACTGGACAGCCTGTGCTCTTTTTATCCAATCTAATTTATTCCTTTTTATAAATATAAATAATTTGTTTCAACTTTTACCAAATATTGAATTTACAAAGTGAGACTTTTTCCATTCAAATCAATTATATGAAAAAGGAAAAGGAAAATTCAGTCAACTAATCTCATAATTTGACTTATCAACCATTTCAATAATTTTCTTTTTATATCCGTGAGTGACAATTAATTCAATAATGTATATAATTTTCATTATATGTCCTTAGTTTGAACAATGAAATATAACAAAATATGAATAAAATATCACAAATATATAGATGTAATATTAATAATAGGAATTTCAATTTTTTTAAGGCCGGAAGGTTTATTTATTAGCTCAAATATTTTTATTATTTTTTTCGTAATTATCGATGTTTTATCGATATCTCTATAAAATTTAAACATCGACATTATATAAAACCTTACCCATAGTATTCAATGTTGTCTATAAATATGATGTATTTTTTTTTTAAATGGTGTGTGAAGGTTTGATAGATGTACGGATGAGATATCAAATTTTTTATTTTATAGATATCTTAAATACTGAGCTGTATTATGACATAGTTTTAAGTAGATTGATTTAATTATTTATTGATTTGAATTAACTATTTATGAAAAATAGAAAATGATATGAGTGTGTTAAATAAAAAATTGACACATTTAAATATATTCGAAATCAAATCTACAAAGTATATTGGTAAACAAATTTTCAAATTTATAGTTTATGAAACTAAATCGATTGACCTATGTTGTTCAAACTTATTTAATTTATCTAAATTKATATTGCCATATCATCAATATGAACGTAATTTAGTGACAAATCACATACGTGAATAAATTTTGAAATTTTAATATTCATATTGTAAATGCAAGTTAAGAAAATACAAATAATTTTTTCGAAAAGCACACAAGATATTTACACTATTTATGAGAACAAGGCCAAGCCAACCCATTTGAACTTTGGGCCCGTGGCCCATTAGAACACCAATTATGCAACGTGTTCTTTTCTTTTTCTTTCTGTCTTCCACCAATATTAAAATTGCAGCTATTTTTTATTGTTTTAATTAACTAATGAGGTAAATATTGGAGTTGTAAATATTTTAATTGATAATATATGTAATAATCTGAACCAGACTTAAAAGTTGATATTAAAAAATCGCTGGTTAATTAATAAGTGTAATATAATAATAATTACTAACAAGCATAACTATTTTATTATGAAGAAATATTATTAAATTTACTGTATTGTGTATTTCTATCCATTAGTCAATGTTATAATTCTTTTTTTTTAGTTAATTAATGCCACTAGTAATTTCTGTTATTTTAGTTTTTGTCCCCCTAAGTTGTAGATAAAATTTGATAATGAAATTGAAAAGAAAAAGGGTCTTGGTGTTGATTTCAGTTTTTTAGAATTTGATTGAGGTTACGAAAACATGGAGAAGAGAACGAAAGACAAAAGAAAATAGAAAGACAAGTGATTCAAATTAAAAGGATGAATTTGCGTCTATAAGATTTAGGGATTGAAAAATTATTTAAAAAATGTTCATTTTTATTTTTAGGTAAAATTCAATTTGGTTTATCTACATTATTGTTTGTGAGTTACAAGTGTTAAATCATTGGACTTTTAACTCAACTGAGATTGAGCTAAAATTTTATCATAAATTAATACTTGTTCTATCTATTTGATCACATAAATGACCAACTCTGTAGAGCTTAGACGAGGTAGGCTAACAAATGCACCTAACCTGCACAAAAAGTGAAAAAGGCTCCAACACTCGATTAGTCTAAGTTCTATATATTACTTAGAGAGAAAGTAGTATCACATCCATGGAAAATGAATTGAATCACTCTATTTACAAGTTTCGAAGCACCGAAATCGCTTGTTAAAAACTATTACAACTGTTTTTGTAAATTTTAACGTATCGTTGGAAAAGCAATTGAAGGTAAACAATGTGAAGTGTGTGGTCATTGACCCAATCTTTATGAAGGTTGGATGTTAATGTCTTTATTGGTCAGCTCGATCTTTAGGAAGTTTTCGATGATAGATAGATGTATACATCGGCTCGACTAAAGAAGGTAGTTTAGCTATTTATTCTTCTTTGAGGAGTTTAACCTTCGGACGGTGTCATTATGATGATCTGTCACTGTTTTCCTAGAGTATTGCAATAGAAATAAACATGACATGAAGTGTCAATATATATTAATAGTCTCGTTATCAGTTATTTACTGTTTTCGTAACATTCACTAACAATTAAACAACCACGTGTGAATTGTATTTGGGTTGAGATAGGTTGAGTCTTCGACTTGCCGTTCCATCTTGTAATCTCGATAGAACAACTTTGCTATTCACAAAAATATATATATTATTAAAGACGAATGAGAAATAGAATGACACTAACGGCCTACCACTGGAGTTGTTTAAAAAAAAAAAAGTTTTGGTTGGTAAGAAAATATTATAAACCACTAAAAAAAGAAAAAAAGGGGGGAAAATTCGGAATTTTGTGGGAAAGTTCAAAGAAAAGAAAAGTCAAAGAATCAAAAGAATGGAAGGGAAGAAAAGTAAACGGATCCTCGTGGGCTCATCCTCGAAGAATTGTTTACCAACCAACCAAGCACAGCAATTTCTGTTTTCTGTTTTTTGTTTTTTGTTTTTTGTTTTTAAATTAAATCAGCTGTGACTGTGACAAAATTGGCCAATATTAGGGTTTTCTTTTGGGTTGGAATTGTGTAATAATTGTCACTGGTTTTATTTTGGTGCATCGATTACTGCTGGACACTTCAACGATAATCTCATCAGTTGTTCGAATTCATTTATAAACATGTTTTTGATATCTGTATGAATTATCTCTCTCCCAGTCCCACCTTCCAATCAACTCAGAAAGCTTCAATTCCATTAAAGATTCTTGCAGTCTGGAAGGGATCCGCCATCAATGAGGAAGGGAGGCTTCAGCACCAACCTCAAGCTCAATCTCCCCCAGGAAGACCAATCCATAGCCAAGTTCCTGTAATCTCTCTCTGTCTCTGTCTCTGTCTCTGTGTTTCGTCCTGCTGAATCTGGAATTTGGGTTTCTTTTCCTTATACAGAACGCAGAGTGGCACGTTTAGGGATGGTGATCTGCTTGTAAACAGAGATGGGGTTCGGATTGTTTCTCAGAGCGAAGTTGAGGCAGTAAGAAATCTCACTTTTACTACGCCAGTATCCTCAAAGGACAATAATGTGCTGTAAATTTCAATGTTTTGCTTGGGGGCTTTTAGCTTGTTAACTTTCAATTACGCGATTTCTTGCTATAAAGGACATTTCTGTTTCTGTTCAGTAGCATAAGGATACTCTGGAATGAAGTATGGAATTATGTATCCTTATGCTCGACCAGATTTACTGTACTCACTTTAGTAACCATTGAATCCATCTGTTCATGGGCTTAGAATAATTACTAACACATGATTAACTAAATGATTAATCATATTACACATTACATTCCTTTGCTAAACTTGTTTGTTCTTTAGATACATAGGCAACAACTAGAAATAATGGTTGATTTATGTCTTGTGACCACTGTTCATATTAGGCTTCTAACATGTTTTATGTGTTCCTGTGTGTTCAGCCACCTCCGATTAAGCCTACCGATGATCAGTTGAGTTTAGCAGACATAGACATAATTAAAGTCATTGGAAAAGGAAATGGTGGAACTGTGCAATTAGTTCAGCACAAATGGACTGCTCAGTTTTTTGCATTAAAGGTATTGCAACAGCTTAAACATTATCTTCTTCCCAGAAATTATCCGCTTGTGACTTGTATGCTTTGTAAACTATATAGTTGATGTTTCAAAAAGTGACTTGATAGTGTTCATGATTTGTTTCGAGTCTTAGAGATCATGGAATTATCTGCAAGGCTTCCCTCAAGCATCATAATCATCATTAGGTTGAAGGTCTATGATTTCTGAGCGACCAGCCCCCCTTCATCAGCATTTACTGTTTTCTGAAACTAACATATTCGACAGCTCTTTCATCATTGCCAAGGCGAATCATGCTTTTCAATGTGTAGGCAGAGCTCTATTTCTATGCCTATTAAGTTTTTAGTTTTTCACCATCCTCTCTGATATGTCTGTGGATTATTTGAAGAAAAATAAAGTTCTTATATATTTGATGAAAGAACAGTTTGAAACTTTGAACCATATCAGTGTATCTCCAGTAGCAAATCTTCTCTACCACCTCAACATTAATGGCGACTGGTGAGCAGTGAGCATTAGGAGAAGCTGTTTCACATTCCTGTTTGTACTCTTCCAATTAGAAATTTTAGACTCAATTACTAAAGTAATAATTGTCCGCATTAATTAGCAAAAAATAAAAAATCATCAATATCTTTTCATACCATATCATATCATATATCATATCAGTTCCAATCCTCTTTCAGGTAATTCAGATGAAAATTGAGGAATCTCACCGCAAGCAGATTGCTCAAGAACTGAAAATCAATCAATCGGCACAGTGTCCCTATATTGTTATCTGTTACCAATCTTTTTATGATAATGGGTCTATATATATCATCCTAGAGTACATGGATGGGGGATCTTTAGCAGATTTTCTGAAAAAGGTTAAAAAGATTCAAGAACCATATCTTGCTGCCATTTGTAAGCAGGTAGGTGAGAAAAGTCCTGCTTGGATATGGAGAATTTGTTATCTTAATTTATCTGTTTTTCAACCAAGGAGATAATTGTAGACTATTTTCCCCCCTTTTCTTTTCTCGTTTCATATAGGTGCTCAAGGGGCTGTTGTACCTTCACCATGAAAGACACATCATCCATAGGGACTTAAAGCCGTCTAACTTGTTAATAAATCATAGAGGGGAAGTTAAGATTACTGACTTTGGTGTCAGTGCGATTATGGCAAGCACATCTGGAGAGGCTAATACTTTCGTTGGCACGTATAACTATATGTCTGTGAGTATCACTTCTCGATTTATTCACGTAAATGCAATTCTCTGGCTGTTTGTCTTCCCTTCATTTTTTCTGGTAGGAGCTGTACATTTTTTCCATCTATAACCTATGTGTAAAACTTACAAGTGTCTGCATGCCATGTCATTTTATAGCCAGAGAGAATTGTCGGAGCAAGATATGACAACAAAAGCGACATTTGGTGCTTGGGGCTGATATTACTTGAGTGTGCAACCGGCAAATTCCCTTATTCTCCACCAGGGCAAGATGGAGGATGGGTTAACTTTTATGAGCTTATGGAAGCCATTGTCGAGGGTGAACCTCCGTCTGCTCCATCTGACCAATTTACTCCCAACTTCTGTGCGTTCATTTCTGCATGGTAAGGATCAAATTTTTCCTTGGGTCCATAACAGCCCACCCCCAAAACAATAATTTTTTGGATGTCAATCATCGTATAAACTACAGGTAGAGATTTGTGTCTGTAAATAGATAGTTTTGTTTACGCAAGCTTATTTCAAGTCTTTTTACATCGCCAGACTTCTAACTCAGAACCTTGTATTCTTTATGAATATCAGTGTGCAACAAGACCCAAAAGTTAGACTGTCAGCACGTGAACTTTTGGTATATAATTCTTCCTTCAACATTTTGATAAGCAAGATGTCAACACAATAGAGAATAAATCTGAGAATTTTCTTCACCTTTCGTGTGGTATTCAGGAACATCCTTTCATCAAGATGTATGAAGATACGGCTATTGACCTGTCATCTTACTTCAATGATGCAGGATCTCCACTTGCAACTTTTTAAGTTTTACCCGGTATGTTACAGAACTAAGTTACATTTTAAACGTACTTTTTGATATCTTTCTGTATTCAGTTGAGAATCATGTCAGAGGTTTTTCTTTCCAGTGGAATCATTTGATGTAATTAAGTGGAAATTGCTATGGTTTCATGTTTGCATGCTAAACATGTATTGTAAGCTATGTTTTCCTTTTTAGCCATTTTGTGATCCTCAACAATGCTAGTGAGAGTTTCTTCAACAATGCTAGTGAGAGTTTCTTCTTCTTTCTGCTCTGCAAGTTCACAATGTTGTGCATCTGGAATGCCCATCTTTAATTCACTAGCAAAAACGTGAATGATTGTTTGCATATTTAATATGAGTGAATCAAGGACGCCAAATTTCATCAGGAAAAGAGGCTTAAGAGCCTACTTAAATGCTGTTCTAAAATTTTGTTATGTTTTTCAAAAAACTTATATGATAGGTTGATTTCCAAAAGCCGTTCTCAAAAAAGTTACAAGACATTGAAATCTGCCTATCTGGTGATTGGGTTCTGATTCTCATTTTACATGAATTCTCAGATCAAATATATATATATATATATGTATGTATGGATGAAGGTTATTCATGAACAATTAAAATCTCTAGGATTATTGAAAAGTTAGCAGTGTGAAATTGTCCATGACAACCCATACATGCTCCTCTTTTTCTGTCTCTCTCTATATTAGCCAATATACCTGGCTTTTTGTGCTGATAATGCTTCATTTTTCTAGTCTATTGTCTCTGGCTCTTATATGGGAAAATCTCAATTGTTTGCTGCTTTTTAGGCTCGCGAGGAATGGACGAGGAGCAAGCCGCCATCTCACTTTCTCATGGATGCTACTTTGTTTTTACTTCAGTTTGTGTTAATGAAAGAGGTGTTTCAATCAAAACTGGATGCTAGTTGTTCCTTTGCTGGTCACATTTCAGATGGTTCTGATTCTTGTTGAGGATGATTCAGAATGATACCGGGACGATGTCGATGTTATGTTGTGTAAGAGATTTCAAATCGTGACCTTTTTTCTTGTAACATTTTGTAATCATATTCCACTACTTACCATGTAAAATTTGGAGCATCAAAGATAATAAACATATATGTTATGACACATGCATTTGTCTGCAATCTCCATCCCCAGTTTCTGTTTTATTGATCAATATTATTCTTATTATTATTTTTTAGTACAACATTATTATTATTTTTAGTACAACACGTAGGGATGTGAAATCGAACTTACAACCTCTTGATTGGGATATATGCTAATTGCCACTCATCATTATCTGAAATTAAATTTGTAGATAAAATTTGTGCTTGTAGCTGCTGGAGGATACTCCGAAAGTTTATAAATGAAAATTTTCAATTAATAGTTGCAATCTGTCATTCATTTTGGCTGGGAGTGATCATTCAAGGAAAAAATAATGCACTTGTGATAAGGAATGCTCAAAGCTCTGGTATGAGGTTCAATTTCAAACTACTACTTGGTTATGCCTTCATTTCAATGACAAGGGTCAAACATAACGCGCACGGTAAGCGCGATAACACGTAACGATTACAATTTCTCTGCAATTATTCATCATAGACAACTGGCCAGATGGTAAAATTGAGGCAATGGTGAGTTGGAGAAGTACAGAGCCAATGGCAGTCTAACAAAATATTCCCTAGGTTACTACATATCGGAGGAACTAACCCTGCTCTTTCCCTGGATTCAAATGATCGTAAGTCATATATAAGCTCATCACTATCGACTCCGAACGTCTCCCTGGTCCAGCAGAGTTTGATGGCTATTAGTCTCATCAGATCTCATGTTCTTCCTGCATGAAGTCAAACTTTCATTGGTATTTTCCATATTTCCTCAAAACAATAACCAGTATTGACAAAGCGTAATTTTTTATTCTCTTTTTTGGTTGAATAATTGGAAGAACAGATGCCTGTAAAAGAAATCCAGAGGTGGTAGCAGCAGATGTAATATAATTTCGACCACCCAAACAACACACAAACAAACCGAGAATAACATTTCCAATTCTGATCTTTAAGGGGCTAAATGAAAATGATAAACTAACGTCTTTACTATTTAAAAAAAAGGGAAAAATATACTGTTGGTCCCTGAAGTTTGAGGTAGGTGTCAATTTCGTCCTTTTAGTTTTAAAATGAACACTTTTGGTGTCTGAGGTTTTGGATCAGGTGTCAATTTGATCCTTAAGTTTCAAAATGAACACTATTGGTCCCTAAAGTTTGAAAATTTGTTCTAAAAGGTCCCTAAGTATTCTTTGACCGTTAGTTGACTTAACGGAAAAATGACCTAGCAATTAACATGTGACTAGTTAGGGACCAAATTGAAAAGCAAATTAAAAAAGTCCAGTCACTCGTTAATTGCCACGTAATCTTTTTGTTAAGTCAACTAATGGTCAAAGAAGGATTAAGGACCATTTAGAACCAATTTTCAAACTTTAGGAACAAAAAATGTTCATTTTAAAACTTCAGGACCAAATTGACATCTACTCCAAATCTTAGGGATCAAAAGTGTTCATTTTGAAACTTCAGGGACCAAATTAACACCTACCCCAAACCCCAGGCACCCAAAAATGTATTTTTCCCTTAAAAAAAAATAATCATGAGAAACCAAACTTTTTCAGAAAAATGAAAAAAGATAGGATACACAAGGGCATTACAAAATAAAAAAAATAAAAAAACTGTCCAAAGAAAGTACTATTTCAATTATAATTACCTCAAGCTATGGAGGTACACCTACCCACTCGGTCAACTGACTTGCACTGATGGATCCAAGAGGCATCATCACTGTGTCTCGAAGGCAAGTTAAGTTAAGTACTGAATCAGGGTAGTGCACTCCCTTTGGTATTACCTCCAGGTATGGAAGGTGGAACCAGTTTCTTAAGTGGACGAATTGAAGCCCTGCAGCAAGAGAGTAAGCATATCAAATTGAAAAATATTTTTAAAAAGCTATCAGTATCGCCTTTACATGTGCTTTTTTTCTTATTCTTCCTCTCTCGATCTTATCAGCATGAAAGTAATACATCTTATCGATATTTCAGTTTCAATCTTAAAGGGGCCGGATGAAAATGATAAACTAACACATTGGGTGCCATTTGATAACCATTTTCTTTTGATATTCTATTTCTTAAAATTAAGTTTGTTAACGCTACTTTCACCATTCACCCATGTATTTCTTTATTTTGCTACCTACTTTTTAAAAATGTTTTCAAAATTTGAGCCAAATTTTGAAAACTTAAAAAAAAAACAAAGGTAGGTGTTTGTTTTTGAAATTTGGCTATAAATACAAATGTGTTTTTAATAAAGGTAAAAACATACTAAAGAAATTATGAGTATTACAAGCATTATTTTAAAAAAACATAAAAGTAAAAATGAGATTGTCATCGAGGCCTTATTTTTTAAATTTTGTTTACCTCAAGCCATTAGACTAGACTAGATTGATGCACGCTAACATGTGCCTAGCACAGCGATAATTGTCATGTCTCTGATCAAAAGGTCATGAGTTCGAATCTCCGTATTAAACTAGACTGATGCATTCTCTTTGGTGTCACCTCAAGGTGTGATCAGTGGATACCAGTTTCTTAAGTGAATGGATTGAAGACCTGCAGCAAGACACATAAGCATATCAATCAAAAAGGCTATCATTTCAGTTCCTCGTACATAAAAGTTTCTTCAGAAAACTCAAGAAACGTATTGCCAGATTGCAAATCTTTAAATACCCCTTAGTTTGAATATAAAGGGAAAAAAGTACAAATAGAACTTGAACCAAGATTCATTTACAACTGTCTTTTTCATGGTCCTCTTGGTAAGTATAACCTTCATATGGATAGTAAATACAATATTATGAGTTCAACGAGCAAATCTTTCACAAAATAAATTGGGAAATGAAATTTCATTGATGTATTTTACCAAAGCAATGTCTCTGGTGTTAAGCTCTGCAAATTGCTTTACTCCCTTTCAATCTTAAACTAAAAAACCTCCACACTACTACAAAAGCCAAGTAATTAAAGGTTGATAATGATAATCTCCTAGCACAAGTAATAATAATAGGTAGGAACATTCAATCTATAAGTTGCAACTTCAAAACTTAAACTCACCTTAGATTCCCAGGCGCAGATCTTGTGGGCAATTTCCTCTTGGTATAGCGGTGCCTATCATAACATCCGCAGCAGCAGTTTGACAGATAAACTATGCTAAAAAGAATTATGTACGGTATACCATAAGCTATTAGGAAAGAAAGTTCACAAACAATTTCCAGACCCTTGTATGAATAAAAGGCTGATTTATTTCAAATATAAACTTATGTACAAGAGGTATCATTCTCTGATCAAAAAGCTACATGAAGGATACTGTGTACCCTAGATATCACTATGATACTATACTAACTTGCAGCTTGAACAAGACTATCTTTACAGTCAGTCACCAACTAAATACAGGAGCAAAATTCCAAACATCTGAAAGATTTACTTGAAATTACTTGAAGAGGAGCCTCAAAAGAATCTAATAACCTAATTTGGATCGGTAGCCAATAACTATGCAACTACCTGTCACTCTTAACGTAGGATTTCCCTTTAGTTTGTAAAGTATTAATGAACAAGACTTGAAGACTATACAAGGAAGGCAACTTCAAACCATCATATTTAAATCTGAGAGGTCATCCATTGGAATTTCAAGGCCCATGAAGTCTTGATCTTGTAAACCATCATCATCAATATTTAACCATGAACCCAAATCTTGACCCTGGCCATCAAGATCATCAGGAACACCTAATACATCCATTCCTGGTAATTGAAGATTAGATAAATCTATGGACTCGGCATCAAGTCCATCCAAGCCAAATTGATCCTTTTCTTTTGAACCACCAGTTGAAGTACTTGACTTTAATACAGGAGACAATGCGGGTTTTCGTTGCTCTGGCAACTTGCCAAGAAGGCCATTAACAGAAATTGATAATTGGGCAGTTTTCTGCTTAGGCTTTGTCTTAGATTTCCTTTCCCCTTTAGTATTGGATAATGCTGGCCTACCAATTTTAGTTCCATTTCTAGATGAGACCTCTCTGTTATGCCCTTTACCATCTCTATCCCTTTCACTCCTCTTTCCTTTTGCACTGCTCGAAATAGAACTCCCAATTTCTGATGGGGCACCTGCATTACCGACATCATCAAGCAACAGTTCTCTCTTTTTTACCCTGTTTGACCATATTTCTTCTCTTCCAGTAGTTCGCTCAGCTTGGTGATTAGCAGGTGCAAGCACATTGTAAGAGGTAATATCGTGGTTTTCCACATTCTGACTAAAGTGTGAAGGGCTATGCTGTGAACCTGCCATAGCTGCAGAAAAAAAATGATTTTATAGGTGACTTCTGCTACACCAATTTCATACACGATACACATGAAAATAATGAAAATTTATCAAATAAAAAAATCAGAATGACAAATAATTCTGCCTAAAATAACATTGCTGAGGTTCATGTTGAAGATATCACGGGATTATTAATAGAATTTCACAAATATCTTCTACAAGGCATCTTCTTAATACACACCTGAGACCCTGCCTTCCAAGGATTGAATGGAGGCATATGATTTCTCCGATTCACCTTCCACAGGATCTGCTTGTCTTTCACCATTGGGATTGAAAGACGAGGAAGAATACATCTCTCTAAATGTAGGTTCGCTGAAGAAGCTCTTTCCTGTATCCTCAAATTTATGACATCGGTTCAATGTTCTTTTAACAAATGCCAAGGCAGCCTGCTTCGCCATTTTGTTACTGGAACTCTTTCCACTAGAGACACTAGAAACTTTACAAGCCTGTCAACCAATAATTTCATAACTTATATTTCCATGTGAAGAAGTTAATAATACACCTGGGTGCCCCCGGGTACAGGGGACAAAGGTCCGATTCCTGGATTATAGAAAATGAAAAATGCAACGACATTTCAGAGCATTATGGGCTTGCATATCAGTGGAGATAAAAGAAAGCCCTCATTTTCAACTGAAAAAAAGAAGAAAAGAAAAAGAAGTACCACCAGTTGTGTTTTACCATCTTATTATAATGACGACTCGTAGAAAGAAAAATTAAATAGTTAGTGGCATACTTCTGCTAGTTTTTTTTTTTTTTGATAAGAAACAGAGGGAATGTATTCAATAACAAAGGAGCCCAACAAGGCAAGAACAGCCTAGAGGCAAACAATGGGTATTATTTTCTTCAACTTGTTAATAGTTCTCATCCTTGGGGAAAAGAAAACAGAACCAACAGGTCGAAAGAAAAAATTTGCTTTATCCACTTTCCCATTCTCTTCATCAGTTATCTCAAACCATTATCCAACTTTAAAAGGTTCGTGTAATATAATAGCTTGAAGCAGTCACAATAATTGAATGGGCTAAATTAAGGACAACAGAATAAAAAGTGACACATAGGAAAGGCCGAAGAGTTGTGGCAAGCTAACATATAACGCTGAGAGAGAAGATTACCATATACTTCTCGTAAGCCATTGCAACAAGTTTATCCATGGCAAGCCGTTCGAATTCTCTGTACGGTTAAAAAGATGTTTTTAGCACCTTGAATATGTAGAATATTTAGAGGAAGGTAAAGTGCTACTATACATTAAAAAGTCCAAAGAGGAAACTATACTTTTCTTGAAGCTGCTTAGTTGCCAAGGCAGACTGTAACAGTTTGTGGAGCAAAAATTTCTTTTTTGAAACCTATTTGCATCAATGATAAAACCAAAAGATTGCTCAGAATATAATATATTGTACTGTGTGAAATTTTACCACAATTAACTGAAAATTGGAAACAAGATATAGGCACCACAAAATTCGGTGACAATTATATGGACATGAGTAGCAAGAATCGATGCAATTTGCTGGTTTTAACTCATTGAATTAAGGAATACCAGCTCATTCTTCTTCTTTTCCGACATACGGATGTCATTGGTGATTTCTTCCTCCTCTATCTGTAACATTTCAGGCTGAAAAGGCACAGACCATAATTAAAATTGATTTATAATTGCAAGGGATAAAACAGAAAGAATGGGAATAGCAGAGTATGTGTGACTTGAGCCAAAACTTCGGGCAGAACACATGGCTTACAAAGAAATACAAAGAACGAGATATTTCTATCAAGAGCCACATCCATTTATGTCTGGCATTGATACTCCTTAGACATTTAGCAGTTCATAAGATTTACACAAAATATGAAAAACATATTCTCATATTTCAAATTAGACTTAAAGGAGGTACTGCAGGGACCTTGGGTCTTGGACGACTGCTTATAATGCAGAATACACGTTACAAATGGGAACAGAGAGTTGTTTGTACGTTGTAACATCTTACATGGTTTTAATATTTAAAAGAAAACTCTGAAGTGCAATGTTAACACTTAGACTAGAAAATTAAAGCAAGCATTTAAACGTTTTTTTGTTCATCCACATAAAACCAATTCAGAATCTCAGATATTAGACAGGATATATACTTAAGTAGCCCAAATAAAGATGTCCCACTCTCCTTCCGCTATTAAAGGCGTAATTAATTGAATGTAAACGTACCACAGAATCTGGGAAAATTCCAATACTTTGAATCTCCAAAAGAAGTTTATCATTCAACTGCATGTCATCATACTGAAACTCTGAACAGGCCATTCCAGCCATCAAAGCTTGACTAGAGACCAAGCCGTTCAGGGAATTTGAGAAGTGTAACATCATCGCAGAGTTTGAGATGCCTTCTCTATCTGTTTCAGGCATATATTGATCTGACCCTGATCCTCCTCTCATGTTATAGTCATCCATTGCAGTATGCCCAGAAAACTGAGAACTAGGTGAAATTTGGTGACTCAATTTTTTTGGTTTGAGATCTTCATCTAACTCACGCATTCCGTATCTATCAAACATAGTGTCTCCACTTTCGTCGTCAGCAACCTCCTCTGGAATTAATGAGGCTAAGAGTCTCTGGTATAAAGGAATTACAGTATGATCTTTTGACTCGTGAATTATATGTTCTAAAGGAACTTCTCCTCTTGCTTCGTTTTCAATGTGATCAAAATTATCGTGACTGATATTGTAAGTGTCCTTGTCTGAAACAACTTTTTGACCTGATGCGGTACCTTCAAGATCTCCCTGAAAGAGAAACCAAGCAGCAACTTCGAAAAATTAGGATAAGTTTTTATAGATAGACATAAAACTACAGCAATTTTTAAATCATAACTAATTTAGTCAACAATGTTCAAAGAAATGATATGTTCAGAGAAACCAAGGAAGAAAAGGCAAGAAAGTCAATCAGCGCTCGGATGAAATAGAATACTACTGCTGGAAGACTAAAAACAGAGAAAATTTCAGAAGAAAGTCTCATATCTTAGGAAGATTATGCAATTCACTGATAGAAATTCCCCGTATTGATTTCAGCTTGATTATCTGAAATAGAACCAAACTGTGTGTGTGTCTCTCCCTCTCTCATTTAATTACTAATTCAAGATTCAGAAATATAAAATATTCATAGAACTTCAAGAAGAGGAAAAAACCATCTTTGCTGTACCTGCTGGATTAAAATAAAGGGGTAAAGAAGAAAAGTAATGGTAGAAAGCACAATATTTTCACTGTTCAAACTTAGGCCAAGTGACAACCACTTTCAATCTATATGCAGATGATCAAATGCTGATGAATCACAACCCAAGATGCACAAATATGGTATGCAAGGTGCCTCATATCTCACAGTAAAAAAAAACTGCAAAAGTTATGGAAATGAAATAATCAAGCATAAAAGAAATGTTTTTCATTTTTTTAAGCCAAAGACACGGCTTTATGACAATCTTAAAAAAAACCATCTTAAACACAGCTCACGCTTGAAAGAGACTTATTCGCCATCCCTTTTAAAGATAACAATAATGAACATCACAAAGTAGGAATGGTAGTTAGAGAAAGTATTTTATGTCTGCATAACGTAAGAGTAGGCCATACTTGTTTTCTTAGGTGCGTAATATCTGCTTCAGATATAAAACGAAAGAATTGCTCCATCTGTCTCCAAAATGGGCTGAAAAAAGTGCGACCTGTTGTTGCAGTGTGATTAATATATGTACACAGAATAATATAAGATTTGACATTTGTAGAGAAAAATGTATGCATTTGTTGTAAGAACAAACCAGGATTTGTGACAGCATTAGCAGCAGCCACTAGCTCTTCATGCCCATAATCTGATGCAACTAAGAAAATTCAACCAAACATGATCAGAGAAACCAGATAAGAGGGAGGAATTCTCACACTAAAAAAGAAGTTACTGTTCAAAGCTGAAGTACAATTACCAAGAAAATCTGTTGCCACATTGATTGCTGAATGCTTTTGACGTTTATATGCCTTGCGGTCAGTAAATTTCCTAGTTGGTGGACGACCCGCCTTGCTGAGTGGAATTTGAAAAATAATGAGAATTTTGAAACAAGAGAAATCCCGCAATGACATTTAAGACAGGCTAGAAACTTTATGTATGCAAAATATGTTTAACCTTTCAACTTTATCAAATCCAAGTCTGGCACTTCTAAGCTGTTTTGCAGTTCCTACAGTGTCAACCTTCTCAACGGTCATTGGCATGAGAGACCTAGTGGATGTAAAAGCACGCCCAGTCCTCCCTTGTCTCCGAACCCCATCTCCAATGTCTTCATCAACCAATTTACTCTTCCTATTTGACAGAACTAAAGTAGATACCTTTTGAACACCCTGTTCAGATTTATCATCTAAATCATCTGATTTACGGGTCTTCTCTCTAGATTTGATCTCAGCAGCACCAGATTCCTCGCTTTCAGATAGAGCAGCAGAGGATAAGGGTTCACCTTTAATTTTCACTTGCTGAGGAGAACTACCAGACATGCGTCTACCAAATCCCAAGCCAGTGTCATTACCCCCAACATCAGATGTGCTATCCAAAGGAGGAGTATCATCATTACTTGAAACAATGGGAAGATTGGTCCTTCTTGCAATACGGGAGATCTTCTGTGGCCTCTGGCTTGCCCAATGGGAAACTGGAGGGGATGAGGACCGCATTGATGTCATGCGTTTGCGATTGCTCGCACCAACAGCAGCAGGCGGCTTATTTGTGCAATTTGATAGATCCCAATCATTAGAAGCAACTGCTCTATGAACAACCGGGGAAAATTTTGGAGCAGCGCCTGAACTGGATCGTGGAGCTCGAACAGATGTATTCACTTTAGAATTTGATGTAGGACTGGTTGAAACGAAATCCTCTCGGACATTTGACCTGATCAATTTACAGATGGAAGATTCATAAACGCATGATAAAAATAGAAGAAAACAGAGGTAAAACACATTCTAAAATCTCAAATGAGTAATAGTGCTAGTAAAAGATTATAAACCAACTAGGATCCAAGAATTAAAAGGAAGGAAAATGCACATGAAAGGGGCAAAAGTGCAGCAAAAAGATTCAGAGGACCATTCAGTAGGTGGCTTTGAACCTTTAAAAATAAAAATATTTGAGTATTTGTAGTAAGGAAGGAAGGGATATACTTATTAACACCCCGGAGGTTCACCCTTTCTTTGTCTGAACCAATAGAATTATCTCTCCTGTCATTGACAAGGGAATTGCCGTCCAGATCAGTCCTGGACATGGATGAACGAATACCCAAGCCAGCTTGTTGGGCGACACCATCAGATTTTCCAACACCAGAAGCTCCATTAGCAATCCCTGGCCTATATAAATCGCATGTAATTATACTCCCCAAGGTGCAATTCTCAACTATACAAGCTCCAACAATAGAACCATGGTATGAAGAAAAAATATATATATATATATATTTAAGATAAGAAACTTGCTTGTTAAAGGAACAACCTAAGGGCGGGGGTAGAGGGAACCCCATCCAGAAAAACTAAACAAACGCTTTCCAATTGTTCATGACCATGGAAAGGTTGTAATTACATAAGAATTTCCTATAATTGATGCACCACCAAGAGACAGTGTGCTGTACATTCCTACGAAAAATGTCAAAAGTAGAAGACTCATCTTTAAAAACACGAGAGTTCCTTTGCAACCAAAGATGCAACAGAAGAGTTCTCGATGCACAGTTCCATAAAAATATATTTGACAAGAACCATGGTTTGAAGAAAAATATATGTGACAAGAATTTGCATCCATATTCCAGCATCATATCATCTTCACCAGAAATATCAGTATATGACCAATGTATTGTAGACTATAACTAATTAATCATTACCCTAAAAAAGTAGCCAAATTGATGCATAAAGTGATGTCATTCAGCCACACGGTCAAGTAGTTGCCATAAAAGGATAGTTACAAGACTCAAGATGTCATACCTGAACCCATGGCTATCTTTATTTATTCGTGATCGAGCATCAGAAACAGGTCGTTGCTGCAATTGCTGCTTAACTTCATCGTAGCTATCTACTGGTTTGGTTGATTGACTGCTTGTGGAAACATCTGGCTTTATTCCAGATCGCTTTTTCTTCATTTTCGACTTCTCCCAACCATCAACGCCAATTGATAAATTCCTATCTTCACCTGAAACAGCACCACTATTTGCAAGCCTTAGTGCATCTCTATCCCTATCCACAGCCCCAGATGATCTCACAGGAGCATTACCACGAACATCCATCTGTACAATTTAAAATCCACGACAACCATCAGGGAACAGAAGAGGAGCTGAATTTAACATAAATCTCAGCACAAATTCAAGGAAAACTGCAACATCTCAATAACATTTGAGGAAAAATCTACTAGTAACAAGAGACATTTATGTACGACATCAAATTTAAGCAAGAAATATATGGGTGTCAATGAGATTTGGCAATTGCAAGAAGGCAAGACAATTTGGACAACTACAAAGAAACAATTGTAATCAGTTTATCATATAAAACATACATATACAAAAATGCAAAAGGGTCAAAATATTGAATCAAAAGCCATAAAAGCACATGAATATGTAATAGGCATAAGATACGAACCCCCCTTGCATCCGGCAATGAAGTTCTTGGGCGTTTATTCGGCATAGCATTTTTTATTCGTTCTTCAGGTTTCTGCAACTCATGTTCAAAAACACCAGTGACTGCATGACTCTGATTCCCAAACTTGCCTACTTGCCCCCTGGCTGACCGCTCACCAGATAAAATGAAATTGGACCGCTCATTCTTATAACCTTCTAATCGAGACCTCTTCTTTGATGGTACGCTTGGGAAATACTTGTTAAACACAGATAAGGCTTCATTGAAAAGTTTTAAGCGTTCCCTGTTCCAAAAAAAAAATAAAATAACAAAAAAATCAAAGGATCCGACGCGGAACTTGGACATATTTTGATTTAAAATACAAAGTTTATGAAGAACTACCTGGCTTTGATAGAGCACTCACGTAGACTAGTCTTCATTCGCTTGATTTCTTCTGGCATCACGGATGATGGCAATTTACTTTTTGAAGAACTAGATGGTGAATTGTCCGGTGACATGCTAAGAGCGAGATGTAACTGTCTACTGAAGTCTGCTTGACGATGAGACTTGTCATCTGCAGCAACCAACTTTCGACCAAAATGCAAGCATTGCAAGAAATTTAAAACCTCTCCTTGTGATACAGTAGAAGCACTTCTGGACATATTTGGAAGAGTAGATAAACTTGGATTCTCCCCACTTTCGCGAAAGCTACCTGATCTGTCCAGTGGAGCAGCCATGTGGGCTCCACGCTGCCCACTAGAGTGTAATGGTCTATCTGGGCTACCTGAAGTGAATTCAAACTTGGACATCACCACCAGGTTAGAGTCCACGCATCATCCATGCCATAGCCCAAGAAATCAAAGTAACACACAGCAAGGATTTTTGGACTCATACTTTGAAACAAAAAGATGGTTTACCTATCCAAGATTGTTAAGAGAAGTAATAAGAATCAAAACATTTATTTAGGTAATAAAATATGAGCAGAACTCACATCCTAATATTGGGAGAAAAGTAAGTACTAGCATTTCACTACATAAACACAGGAAACGATATTTAATTAAGAAGCGCAGCTCTGGAACCCCCATTGAATGAATATCCCACTTAAAGGAACACAAATTTGGATCAGAATAAATACTTCTTATTCTATTTACTCCTTATCACTCAACTCCTTGTGTCCTCTAAGGCCAAGAGTCTAACTAGTATAGAATAATAAGATAGAACTATCTCAATAAAATAAAAAACCAATTTTCTGATTAACTATTTATAATACTTTTTCTAAGAGAAATTTGATTGAAACATATTTACATAAGGAGGAGGACCAAGATAAAGACTGTCTGTATGAAATCAGTCCACTAAGTAGATAATTTGTGTCTTAATGTCAGAAATATGTCCACTAAGTAGACTGATTGTTGCGAGACAGGCCTGATAGTAATAGTCGTCTACAAAGACTATAGCGTATTCCCACATTCATTAAATGAACCAAGGTACCTTCATAAAGAATCTCATATATATATTTCCTTCATGTAAAAAACATGCACACATGTTCCAGTCAGGTGGTAAGTATTATATCTAAGAGAGCATAAATATTTGTAAGATGAAAAAATATGTAAGAAACTCAACTTTTCTAAAGATAAAGTTTCAGAAATTTCTATATGCTCAAGCTTCGGCAATTGACCATGTGCATATACCTCTCACTTCCAATGAATACAAATAACCTTACAGACTGCCAGACACCACTCTTTAAAAATTCTAAAAGTAATGCACCATAGACATCGTTGCAGCTTCATTATACCAGCATTGTATTGTTATACCAGCAATAATGCAAACTAAGAGAAAACAACAATATTTAAAGGGAAATAGTACCTGATAAAAGAACCAGAGAGTATTGACTTTAAAAGTTATTATAATAATTTAGAAAAAAAAAATTTAGATAAGAAAAATAAGTTACCAATCCTTAGAGGCGCCATTGTAGATAAACTAAAAAAGCACGTAGTTGGATCAACTCATGCATTTCAACATGCATATAGAAAGCCCATTTGATTAATACCACCGTAATCTAGTTCATTATCACTTGGAGAGTACAAGATCCAAACAAAAACCAAAAATCGTAATAAAAATGGACTAACATCTATGTCCAAAGAAAACAAGTAAATAAAATTTTCAAGTGCTCAAATATCTTTAATTTTAGGAGATTTCTACATTTCTGGGAAGCAATCCAGTTTCATCATATGGTATTCCACTCCGTATCTGCACACTTTCATATCTATTCCATGGCCGCTCCATTCCAAAATTTGACTCCAATAACCAACTCACATGCCCATCAAGATGAAGATTCTGCTAGAAAAGTATTTCCAGCTCGAAGCTCCAAAAAGATTGAAAGAATGTTTTTTTTTTTCTACTTCGTTGACCTTACCTTAATTACACTTCATTTAATAACTATCCAACCAAAAATAACAGGAAACCGCACATTTGAAAGAAGGAACCCTAGAAGCTAAATTCTCGAGATACGGAAAACACCTCCAATCCAACTTCAAACAATCATAAATACTAAAAACCAACTGCAGAAATCCGATATTTCAATCCGACGAAATAATTAAATAGAATTCAAGCGAAATGAATCTACCTCAACTTCCAATCCGCAATTAATTGTCGATATTCGTGCTCAACTCAAGCTACTACGATCCGGGACATTCGAGGGTTTGGAAAATTCCTACGGAATGGGATAGTAGTAAAAAAAATCAAAAAAGGAACAAAAAAATTTTTATGTACGAGTTGAAGCTCCAGATTGAAGGTTGTTCATCATGCGAAGCCATGGAGGAGGAAGCTCATTGCTTTGATCGGCAATGAAAATTGTCAGGGCTAAATTACGAGTATGCCCATGCTACTATTTGGCGTATAAATTAAAACTAAGGTTGGGAATCGGAGTATTTTGGGAAGATAGCGGTTGAACCGGTTTGAACCGGCTTCATGCCTCGTCGCGGTGATTTTTGTTCGATTGCGAACCGCAATGGGATTGAACCGGTTGAACATGAAGTGAAAGTTTCTCTCTCATGTAGTTTGGTAATTTTAGTACTCCATAAGAACTATATCACAATTCATATGTTACGTTCACTTTGTTTCAAGTTACTTTCAATAGTTAACTTTATCCAACCTTAACTAAGTCGATGGTAAGCAGCCAATAAAATCAATGATAAAGTGTATACATTTGAATTAGTTATGTAGGTTTTTTTGATTGAGTCTGTCTGCTTTCTATCTTTATCATACATGTACTAACGAAATTGCTTTAACTTATTAACCCATATTTAGAACCCACTTCTTTTTAATACAGGTGTGCATTCATGTCTCACCTCATATATTAATTTGAAAGGAATAATTTCGTACAAATATGATTGAAGAATCAAGTTTTTCATATATAGGCAATGGTACTTTGACCTATTCGAGAACAAGAACTTTCTTTCTCTCATGCCCATTACCTTAAAACTTGACAAATTTCGAATGTTTCACTTGCCCTACTAGAGGCCTCTTTTGCATGAGAAACTTCCTTCAATGAGTGCGTCTATTCAACTTCAACCCGTGGAAATGGCAAAGTTTGAAGACAACTATCATATTCTAATAAGCCTACCCATCAACATCAACTTAATATTTATGGGGCATAGATTATGACTTGATCCAATAAAACCATAACACCAAACATATCTTGGTTTGTGAATTTGGAAAGTTTCGATTTTTGTTGTTTGGAGTTGAAGAGTATGCTTCTAATGATATTTGGATCGTCTAAATATTTAGATTTATAATTTTTAAAAAACATGTAGTATGAGGTATGAGTCCTCAAATTAGTTTTACATAGTTGTTTAGATTAACAAATTATCTGTTCAATTTGAATACTAAAGCGTCGTTCGATAATCATTTTAGTTTTTTCTTTTTTATATATGTTCTATTTTTTATTTTTTGTTTTTAAAAAAGAGAAATCAAAACATATTTGGTAACCATTTTCAGTTTTTTGTTTTTATAAGATTAGAGAATTAAAAATACATATTAGAGAGAGAAAATTTGATGTAGGGTAGAGATGACAATGGTGTGGGTGCGAGAGGATGCTCTCCCCCATTCTCGTGCTCGTGAAAATTTGGAGTCTCCGTCTCTACCTCATTCTTGGGTCCGAGAGATGTTCTCGAGAAAAATTATCGGTTTTATAATTGTTTTTATTTATTTTTAGAATTTAAGTATAAAAAAGTGTAATAAATATATAAATTAATTATTTAAAAAATGGAATCGGGACGGGGACGAGGTCGAGACATACATATCCTATTTTTGGGACCCGACCCTAATGTAATCGGGGACGGGGAAATTTTTGTCTTCCCCTAATGTAAAGACATGAAAATAGAAGTTTAGGTAGATGTAAATAAACTTTTGAAAGATAAATTTTAGAGAGATAAATAAAAAAGATTAAGAAATAAAAAGAGTGAAAGAAAAGTTAAAGACAAAAGGAGAAAAATTATAGAGAAAAAAAATAAAGTCGAGAGGAAAAGATATGTTAAAAGAAAAAAACAAAGAAATTATAAAGGAAGAGAAAAATTATAGGAAAACAAATTTAGACATAATAACAAGATTCAAAATATAATTTTTGGAGAAAATAAATAAATACAAAGATAAATAAAAGTTACGTAAAGAAAATTGAATGAGAAAATAAAATATAATTTTAAGAGTAAAAAATAGATTACAAAGTCAAAGAAAAATTATAAAAGATGAAATTCTAGAGATAAAAAAGTTAGAAAAAATATTAAATTTGTAGGGAGGGAAATGAAACTGGTCGAAAAAAAAAATACATATAAGTTTGGAGAACGATAAATAATAATAAATATTTAAAATATGAAAATTTTAGAGAGAAAAAATAAAGTTTGTAGAGAGAAATTTAGAAATAAATATTTAAAATATGAAAATTTTAGAGAGAAAAAGATAAAGTTCGTAGAGAGAAATTTAGAAATAAAAAATTTTAGAGTGAGAAATAAATTTTTTAGAGATAAATATGAGAAAGAAAAAAAATTGAGTATTATAATAAAAAATCAGATTTTGAATAAAAAAACCTGTTTTTGAAACTATTTTTTCTTTTTTTAAATTTACATAGAATTTCAAAATCGCAGAAAATTAAATAACAGTTATCAAAACGGTCGTAAATGTAAGTTTTGTTTTTCAATTTGAGTTATATTAAACTCAATTTGTGCCCAAATGCCCTCTAAGAAGCTGTGATGATAGTATTGCTCTTTGGCATGACAACTTGCAAAAATATAGTTGGTTTTAATATTGAAAAAATGTTTTCATTTTTTTTCTTGCACATGGTTCGTGGCAAGAAAGTACACCACTCGATTCTTTAATATTCCATACTTTAAATAAATATGTTCTATTCGACAAAAATAAAGTGGTGATATAGATAAAAGAACCAGGAATGTTAGCTATAATTCACTAAAAATAGCAGTGGCTTCAGCAAGCACGGTAAATCCAACATCATCTAAAATGTCGGAGAGAAAGTCATTACCTAACCATTTAAGTCTATTATCGCGAAACTCTCTAACTTAATGCAACACCCAGTTCGGACCGCATACGAATTACTAAAAGTAATTAGTTACATGATATAAGGTTGTCATAAATATTATCATGAAATGAAATGTGGTCACTTTCAACTTAGTTATATTGATGTAATGCTTGGACGTGGATCATGTTTGAAGACTTTTATTTATTTAAATATGACAATGGTCCTCAAATTTGTATGTACTCTTATCAAGTTTCGTGATGATAATGGTCACACTTAGACTTGATTTCATTTTTATATATATACAAATAAGGGAGATTGAAAGGGGGACAAGTTAGGATCAATTCACATTAAAAGTTCATATTTAGTCTTTATAAAGAATCTTCTTGTGTTTGTTTATAGCTGGTAGTTGAAGCTTTGCTCCCTTATACATAGAGGCACTCGCATCCGCTCCAAAATCCAGACCCGAGAGAGATCAAAGGTTTTTGGTGTTAAGCTTATCAGAAGATTTGAACGTAATCAGTATGACTAAGAAATCTCAAGCCCTTGCCACCTAGACTGTCACTTTGAGCTTATAAAGAATTCTTTTAGCGAACATGTTCTGTTATGATTCATGTTAAATCAAATGAAATACATTGCGGTGGAAAATAGATGATATTAACAAGTCACCTCATACCATCTTTGATAAAACCGAACATTTTACAGCGTATACATTAGAGACAAAATTATATATTCAGCCTGATTGGATAAATAAAAAAGCACTTGTTTTTCCAATGTAGCAAGGAATTTTGTGAGCAACACGTCAAAAAATGAATATTGAAAATGACACTTGAGAGACACCAAAAGCTCTGAGCACAGCTTCATGGATATCAATCAAGAAGAAGAAGAAGAAGAAGAAGAAGAAGGGACCAGAAACTGCCGCAAGAGAAGGGTAGTTTTATGAGCCAACCTGGGCAGTCAATGCCTCAGAAGAGAGAACTCAGTCTCACATGGAGGGGGGGAGGGAGGATGTTGAGTTCCTAAACCAAAACGCTGTACATGAACTCTGCAAAAACAATTTGGAACTTGGAAATTCCTTTGCTCACAGGCACCACCTGGCTGAAAAATAAGCAGGTGCTTGGCCACCATCTTCTTCAGACAGGTCTCTCTTTAGCATTTTTACTGTGACAAAGCATCCCCTGATGATGCCAGTATGGCTGCTTCCCTGTCATCTGTTGAGCAGGTGGTGGAGTAGTTCAATGCTGAGTCACCTGTACAAGATATCCGCAAGTTGGTTAGAAGGTCGCCATAGAACAACTTTAAAGCACTAGTCGATACCGATATGTATGGTTCACTTGAATCTCTTACTCTGAGTAGAGTCGACAGAGGAAGTCCGTGTCGGGCCGGTGCTCGACTTCAAATCTGTAACATGAGGAATCGGATGAACAAGAATGTCAACAAGATCATGGTGTGTTTGTTTTAACTCAAACCTTAGTCACTTTTTAGATAAGAGCTTGTCACTTTCAGCAGAAAGGAGAATCAAGGAGTTGGTAAAGTGAGAAGAGGGGAAAACTAACTATATATGTTTAGGAATTTTTTCGACCATACTCGATTCAGGTGATACGATGTAAAAGTTAGAATGAGCTTTGCAGAAAGTGAAGGAACAGAATGTATGTTTGAGAAAGTAACCACGGTTCAGAAAGAAGAATTAAACCCAGTCATCGTTAGCAGATAAAAGATAGAAGCTGCTGTGTGTCATTGAAATCCATATATCAAGCAGGAAAAATGGGCTTATGTCCTAAATTTGTCACAGTGGCACCACCTCAACAAGTTTCTCTGTTTTCTAACTGATCCTAATGCTCCACAGCAGTGCAGAGGTGTTTCTCCATTTTCTCCTTTGACATAGTTCATAATTCTACTAAAAACATGACTGTTAGTCTGTTACAAATATGCACCTATTTCTTTTCTTTCTTCTTTTCACGTCTGAGCCAGCTTATGCGCACGTCTACTCATCTCACAGAACAACTATCTGATGATACTATATTTGGTTTCCAAGAATAATCCTGGATATTTTATAAATGTGAGCATCTTGGTGGAGCATTGAGAGACAAACGCAATATAGGATAATTTGATGAGAGGAGATTTTTCGACAGGTCAATAACTATCGCAATTGTTTTAAGAGTCCTTAGAAACCCATCCTGAAGCAGTAAACTACTAGGCACTACAAACTCCTCCACTGCAATAAGTGTGCAAGTTCCATTATTGGTGAGTGTAATAACATTAAAGCTCTAGCCAATTGAAAGAGAAATGATGATGAGTATAATATGTCTAAGATGCAGAAATTACTTTTTAAGCCAGCAGCATAAATTCCATCACCAGAGAACAAAATCGGGAAAGAAGAAAATTCCTACCAAATGAATGGTGTAAACCTTTGACAGCTTCAAAGTTTTTGTATGTATAACCAACAAAACTAAGATCCTTGGGAGTCAACATCATCTGGTAGAAAGTCAATGGAGAAAATCAGATACCAAAATATTTTTTATTGTATTGTCAAAACAATAAACATAAACTGTAATGCAATCACCAAATCTTTCAAAACAAGCATGGTTGTTGGTCTGATCGATTTGATGTAGCTTCTTAACGAGCTTCACAGCGATGTTCTATTTCTAAATTGTTTATGGATTTTCATTTCCATGACATTTGCTTAAATTGGGATGATTTTATACTCACTGTTTAGTTTTTCTTCTTTTTTATTCTCTTTTTGGTAGTTTGTTTCTTTGTACTCCCATTTCTTATCATTTTATCAATGAATTGTTCCTGGTTCAAAAAAGACAAACATAAACTGTAGCAATTGAAAAAATGATAAGAGTAGGTGGGTTTATAATATTTGAAAGCAATGGGGCAAAAATATAAAAGGTTTAATCATTAGCAAAATGAAAATTGACTCTATGTTATGGAAGTTGTTTTTCATGTATAAAGATCTTATTCTGTTCTACATTGCATCAATCACACTAAAAAAAAATTAATTAACTTACCTTCCTTATCGGTCCAGATCCGCTTCTAGTCGGTGGTGGATCAACCTACAAAACAGTAGCTTGATCAGCATAAGAAAGTACATATTTGCTCTATTTTGTTCTCTTTTTTTCTCTCTTTGAGTAAAAAATTGCTTTATTTCTTTCTTAAACAATGGTGTGAATTTGAAAGAGTCCCTAGATGAACTCATGTAAATCTATTAATTGAATGTGTTTCTAAATGCTGGTATCACACAATCTGAATCAATAATCTCTTGACTGCCACCAAGGGCCATCTTTTAAACACCATGCCCAATTCTTTGAGGAACATTCATACAGTTAAAAGTTGGTCACCATCAAACAGAAACAGATTTGTCGCCCAATATTTAAGCAAATGCAAAAGATCATCTATAAGACCTCACCTCATCAAATTGCATAAAATTTTGCGTATCAAGTTCCCCATTGACCTCGGGCTTAAATGCTGCATCAATTTCATAGAGATTGTCCCAGACGGTATCTTTGAACCAAGGGTGAGCCTATAGGTTTCTTGTCAATATATAAAACATTAAGAATAGAACACCAACATATGTCTTATTTGAGGATAACTGACCTTGATTTGGTCTGCACCTCCAGTACCGAGCCTATGCTCGGCATCACAAAGCAGCCTACTGATCAAATCTTTTGCTTCAGGTGTTAATCTTATCTCATCGGGGAATTTTAAGTGATTTTTCCAATGTACAATCTGATAATACAGAGTTCAACTGCAAGCATTAGTTTAACTTGAACATTTCTTATCCCAAAAAGAAAAAAAAGAAGTTTAACTTGTGAACCACGAGATAAAAGAAAAAAGACATGAGAAATAGACCATGTAGCGTATCTCTTCAAACTAGACTAACATATAGAAGCAATGCTTTACAAATGACTACTCATAAAGTTCCTTTATGACAGCATTAGGTGAACTACAAAGACTTCTTTTAACTTCCTTTCACTGTGGGTTGAGACTTTTCTCTTCCTCTTTTGTATCTTTCTTTAGTTTCATTACTGCTTGTTTCTCATTAGAAAAAGAATATATAGAAAAATCATAACGAGTGTGACAAAGTAAAATCTCTGTGGAAAGTTCTAATAAACAGAAATAACATTACTACTAGGCAGTGGCTAGCTGCCTCTATTCCATATAGGGATTTTATAAAAGCCTTAAGAAGAGATTCCAATGTCATCGAAATTAGTATATTTGGACATAGAAATGAATAATGGCATTCTACTCACACAGTCAAAGAAGGAAGCAACAAGGAAATCAGATATCCTATTTATGAACAAATTCACAAGTGTAATTTTAGAGTCGACCTTTCGGCATGTTGTTACTGGATCATCAGAATAAAATGGTGGATAACCAACAAGCATTTCATACATTATTGCACCAAGAGACCACCTGCAACCGGAATATGTATAAGAATCTGTCCCTCATGATGACATTGAAGCAATTACAATTTGTTATTAAGACGAAAAAGAAGCAATAAAGTAAGGGATAGGGAACAATGAAGACGAACAAACCTTATAACAGAGTGACAAAATAATCATAATTGAGAATTTCCAATGGGAGGAGAGAATATCGTCTATCATTCTAATGATGTACAATCACAAAGATAAAGTAGTTAACCCTTTATTCCAGATCATTGTCATTTCCATCTCCCATTTATTTTGGAGATAGTAGGAAATTTTCATATATTGACTACTGTTGGAAATTTTCATTGCAAAAGGCCATACAAACAAATTTGATCAACTCACCAGTCACATTCCACACCGTATCCTTTTTTTAGCAACACTTCTGGAGCTATGTAATCTGGAGTGCCAACCGTGGAAAATGCCTGGCATTAATGACAATGTAGAGTTGTAAAATGATAGCAAAGAGCCGTGAAGGCGTGAACTATGACCCCTGAAGATGAATGGAAAAGAGTACTTAATATTAAATGTCGTCTATGTTTCGCATGTCTCCATTCTCTAATGATTTTATACCACCCCATGCAGAAATAATAAATAGGTATCAAGGTGCCTAACAATTTCAAAAGTAGAAGGACAAGTAGTTGATAGAAGTAAAAGAGTGGCCGCCACTTGGATTCTCCAGTGTCAGAAAAACAGAATTTGCTGGTGTTTCTTACTAAAAAATATGTGAATAAACACTGAAGATCAATAGGATTCCACAGTAGGCCATGAAGGGAGTTTTTCTTGTACCAGTTTCCTTCTGTTAATCTGCCAGTGCTGAAGTTGTTCAAGAGGGCTCTTCCAGCGCCTCCCGCTTTTTTTACCTGGGAAGCTCTCATCCACGTCGACTGTATCGTGCAAGCTATCATCATCAAGGACTTCATTTTCATTTATAGCAGACAGATTTGTGCAGTCAAGAGGCTTGCAAAGACCAAAATCAGAGAGCTTCATATGACCCCTTTTGTCCAGCAGAAGGTTATCAGGTTTTATGTCTCTGAAAAATTAGATCAACAGAAACGCACGAACCACGTTTTAAAGTTGTATGAAGACACACAATGAACTTGGAGATATACTAGATGCAATCTAGCTTGTCATTTGATTTTCCACCAACATTATAAACCAACCTGTGGATGTAGTTATGTTTATGAATTGACTCTATTGCCAGAACACTTTGGGCCACGTAAAATCTAGCCACGGTTTCTGTCAAAGTTTCCTCCCTTATCAGTAAAGTCATCATGTCACCTCCAGGAAGATACTCCATAATCAGATACAAGTATTCGGTATCTTGGAAGGAATAATAGAGTTTCACAATGCAGTGACTCGCAACTTCTGCAAGTAAATTCCTTTCAGCTCGGACATGTTCGACCTATGTTGTAAATATCAGACAAGTGAGAGAAGGTAAACCAGAACATTCCCATGGTGCAGAAGCTATTATGTTGCATGGTTGAATGGATCCAATAACATCTTTTCCACAATGGTGACAAAAGCCACAGTAAAACTAAAGGACTTCTCAAATCAAGTGAAAGGATCTGTCCTTTCCTCTAAATCAAGAAGCATGTTCACCACAAAAAGTTAAACAAAGAAATGGCTAGGATATTAAAGATTATGACGAGCAATCAGATGGAAGTTGAAAGTATATTCTACTAATATACATTTTACAGATTTTCCTTGCAAATATGAATGCTTATCAAATGCATACCGATGTCTATTTGCATGATTTCTGTAAAAGTAAACACGCGAACAGGAACAGAACTGCAGGACACTAATCACACTCAAAAAGAGCAGCAGGAAAAGATTCCACTTCATCTCTCTTCAAAGATGGAAAGGTCTTAGAAAATCAATCTAAGTTTTTCTGATGATTAAATGATCTTTTTTACGTCAAATTAATGAATACCCAATATTTAAAGGTCAGTCAAGGTAGAAGACAGTTGTTGGTATCTGAGTCGATCATTCCAAATATCAAATTCAAGTTTTTTCTTTAAAAAAAAGACTGGTATATTTACACAAAAAAGATGGAAAAGTCTAGGGAAGAAGAATAATCTATTTCAACTTCGTTGAGCTTTCTTTTCATCTAAGCAATTCTTGTACAAATTTCAGTATGAAAGAGCATTCCCATTGAATGACACAAGTATAAAGAAGATATTTATTGAAAGTTAAAACATTTAGAAGTTGAAATGACCATTTACACGTCAGCTCTTACCTGTCCTCTGCTGAGCATTTCTGATTTCCTCAGCTTCTTCATGGCATATATAGTGCCTGTTTTCTTCTCCCGACAAAGTCTGACCTGTAAAATAATACTAAATATACATTAAACAATATTTTCTCCTAGAAATAAGGCAAAACTAAAGTGGAAAGTTAAAATATAAGAAACAAAACAAAACATGTTTGGATAAAAAAATATTGTCCATCACAAACAACTTGTGAGCACATTTTAGTTCTCAAGAGATATTAATATGAAATGTAGTGAACATATCATAGTTTATCCATCAAAAACGTTGTCCAAAGGACGCAATTTGGTATTTTTACAAGATATTGTCATAAATATTTGACACAGAATTAATCATATCTATTTCCAACCTCCCCAAAAGCACCTCGCCCGATTATTGTCAAAAGGTCGAAATCTTCAACACAAATTTTATGCCTTTTCAGCCTCATGTAATGAGTCTCCGTGCGCTCCAAGTCCTTCAAAAGATTAATTTGTTCTTCTTCTGAGACATCTGAAGATGCCAACTTCTTTTCTAGCACAGAGCGCCTACAGATGTTAAAATAAGTCAAGAGAACCAGCCTCATCTGTTATAGAATCCGTAATTCAGTCCCTAATCTAATCAACATGCCACATTGTTGTTAGTACAAATTCCAAAATCATTTACAATGAAATATTATGTCAAGCAGGCATTGAAACATTGAAAGCCAAAAAAAAAAACTAATACATTTTACAGAGTTTTATGCCCCAAATGTTGGGAACAAGACAGGTACAAAATGCACCTTGGCTGTAAAATTTTAATGAACTTTTAGAGGTCAAGGAAACTTTACGGTCAAGAAAATTTTGAACGGGTAAATGTTGTAACACGCACATATCACTAAGGGGCAAGACAACCCACATTCTCTCGACCCCCATGTTTGTTTGGTAGAAATGTAGAGACTAATATCTGAACTTGTAATTTGATAGTTTGAAAATTTGCCTAAAAGGTATCAAGTCATGGACGGCTCGGTTGAATTCAAGGGCCTCTGCCACTAAATAAACACTTTTCAATTTCATATATGAATAGGAAATGAGAAAAAAAAAAAATGAAAACAACTCTTGATATCGCTTAGCTGACAAAAATCCTATGATAGATCAACTCATCAATTTAAGGTAGCATCTTGCATATTCCAAATACTCTTGAGACCTTTCGTTCGGACGAATGAAAGAATAAAAACAGACAATACAAAGACAAAAGTGTACTACTAAAGAGGAATTATGGTTATGCTTATAACCCAAGTCAAAAGCTATATACTTCTCCTACCCTTTTAACTTTTTCCGCAAGTATACGCCTCTCTCTAGCTATATAACCCGTTTTGCAAAAAGCAAAACATCATTAATACAGGAAGTTGATTTCTTAAAGCTTAACAACAACAACAAATCAAGACAAAAATCAGCTGCCCAGAACCCATCTCCGCAAATGCGTCAAATGTGAAGAAGACATGATATAAAATCAGATTCAGAGGCGATCATTGATGGAATCAGATTCAGAGGGGGGAAAAGGGGGAAATGGTGGGAAAATTGTGAAACCTCTCCTTGCGCTCTTGAATGTGCTTCTTTTGAGCCTTGTAATGGTTCTCGATGTACTGTTTGGCCGCGGCGACTTTCTCCAGAGTCAAGCTGGAACCCACGATTCCGATTTCCACTTCTTCATCCTCCACGGCGGCGGGTCCCTCCCCGTCTTCTTCAACCTCCTGAAGATTCTCCATATGCCTTTTTGGCTTGGTTCAGAATCTGCTCGCCAAAATCAATGAAACCCAGCTAGCTATTTCTCTCTCGGTTTCTCTAAACTTTCGGTTTTGGTGCGTGGGTGGTGAAATTTTAACGAAGCGGAGGAGAATGAGACCTCAAAAAATAACAGAGCTGACGAATTTTTTGTTCCTTTGACATCCATTTGTCCACCTGACATGTGGGAAATCGCGATTCGTTCTTCCCAGTTCTTTTACAATGGAAAAATTGTTAGAACCACGACAGCCTTCCACGTGGCACGCTCTCACGCATCCCCGCGCTCTCTCTCTCACTATACTCCATTGATATGTTTCATTCAATGCAATGATCAAGACAGATAAGCATTTCAGCAGATGTTTTTGTTATCCATGTTTGGTCCAAATTCAAAAATTTGAGAGCACAACAAATTTAATTTTGTGTCTAATATATTTCAAAATTATAAAATTATTTTTAACTCTCCATCCCGCTGAATTTAAGGAAAAAAAATTATAAATCTATTAAATATAAAATTGAAGTAAAATATTTAATAAACACGTTTCAAATTTCAATAACATATTAGGTGCAATATAAAAGTTTATGGGTTTTTAAATTTATTTATTATTCGTGATTGAAATTATAATTTAGTATTTTATATTATTAATTCTGCAAAATGGTTTACTTTATGAAACTCAAATGTATCCATTGCAAAATTCTAATCTACATCAAGAATCTTGGAATGTGTCAATAAAATAACAATTAAAAATCAAACAGAATATTAAATATAATATTTGAATTTGATTTTTATTTTTATTAAGTTGCTTTTCTCGATTGCCCCAAAAGTAAACATTCTGATTGGTGAATTATGAATCTCCCTCAAATGCCAAAACGTAAAGTGGTTAAATTAAAAACTTTAAAAAGTGAAGATCGGGGATGGAAGTAAGTAAAATGTTGATGTTGCGGCTGGCTGACCCCAATCATATTTTCATCCCTTTCTTTTTTTTAATAAAACATGGATGAGATTCAACGTCAATCCAATTCACAATATTTTGATCGTGTCTTAACCAATTGAGTTAAATTTAGATTGGCAGATCTTATTTTCATTTCAAGCAATAAAATTAAGATAAGGATTTTAATAAATTTATATTTGTACTGGATATCAATATTCATAAATTTCATCTCGAAATTAACTAACAATGAGAATAATAGGTATACTATAAACATGTGTTTTCGCTTAATGCGCAAGATTCCTCCAGTTTGGTGGGTGTGGATACACTTGCGCGAATCCACTGATGATGCAAAATTTTTACAGAGACAGACTCGATGAGTAATCTATTTAAAAGAACCCTCCGTGTAGTGTGCGAGTTGAAGCTAGCAACATGTCCATTACACACCGAAGGTTGGTAAGAACCGAGGGGGACAATGCCTCCTAACCTAAGTGGCCCTACCCATAGATCCTTGTGTCAGCGAACGTTGTTGTAGCAATCTTCGCTGGCTGAAGATGGAAGAGTGAACGTTGTTGAGCCTAGAGCCCAAGAAGGAAGCCCTCAAAGTAAGTTCAAGTCAATCCATGGATTCGATCGGGAAACCGTATCCAAACTTCGTGACTAATCTGCCTCATCTTTGATGTAACATGGTATCCAAAATTTTAGGTTAAATTTTACTATTTGGTTGGATCTCTTGATAATTGCCAAAACCCACTTATATATTGATTGGAATTTTGATGTTTGAAGTATAATTTCACATAAGAAATATGTATCAATTATAACTCTATAACTTGAAACATGGCTGGATTACATATCCATAAATCCTAATACCAGCACCACTAACCACTAAAAATCACCTAAACTAACGATTTTTTGTTTTCCATGATGGGAAAATCACCACCAACTTACAAGTATAATTACCTTATTTTAAACATGACTATAGCAATTTATATTATAGCCAAAAACAATGGAAATAAAAAAAAATTAAGAGGAACTTGAGAAATTTTCTTCACTAGAGGAAGCCAGTGCCGGCAAGGCCATGGTGGAGAAGATTATGAGCAATATGATCCCTGGACTGAATCGCAGTCGCCGATCGGAGCCCATTTTCCGGCGCCATCTCGTCGTCAAA